AAATGTAACTTAACACGTCTGAGTCAGGTTCTCTGTGGAAATTCAGGTAAAGGAAAGCGGGGCTTCTCCCTCTGCCCCGCGAGCCCAGGCCTGCCGCCTCTCCGTGTCTGGGGGACGTGTTTAGTGAACAGGTGTGGTGTTTGCTGCTTTAGACGTGTGGGGCCGTCCGGCTACTGTGGGCTGGTATTCAGAGAACACTGGTGCCTTCGGGATGTAGAGAGCTGTCTCATGTCTGGGCACTCTCATGAGTGACCATCCCATTAATAAAAACAATTGTGAGAGAGTAAGTGGGAAAGCTTGTCTTTTTGGGGGGAGGGGGTTACTTAAAAACCTTTTAGCCAGCGTCTTCTCAGTCCCTCCTCTTCCACAGCAGAGGATTAGTTGTGAGACAGAAGACCCTTAATAAAAAGTATAAGTAACTGTAAACTTCGGCCTAGTCTTTCAGAAGTAAGTTAGCAGAGGCCAGCATAATGAGATTGTGTTATAGCATTGGATGTAATTTGAGATTGGCAGGTTACCATTGTTGCACAATTAGTGTTAATTTTGATTTTTGCTTTGGGGGTGGGTATGAGGTTCAGAGAACCACACTGTTTTGCCACCAGGTGGGACAGATACGCATCTGTGTGTTATCTTTTTGAGAAGCTGGAGCTGTTTTCTCGCAGTTCCCGTGCTGTGAAAATAGGACCTTAATTGTGGTTATATATTGTATTTTAAAGTGTCTTAGCAGAATTAGTCTCTAGTGTATAGAACTAAACATCTTTAAATGGGCAAGATGCAGTTACCTCTACCTGTCTGAAGCTTTGTGGAGGTCAAGCATTCAAATTTACAATGGTCATAGAGTCAGGCATCGCTAACATTACTTGGGGAGGGTATTTTTGATCTTGTGTTTAAGAAAATCACTTGTGGCAGCTTAATATTTTTTAGGCGTTGAAGGGAGCATTTATTGGTTGATAACAGTTTTGTGGAAGGAAATGTTTAATCTCTTCTGATGCTAAAGACTCCATGTGTGTGATGGCTTTGCACGCCTTCATCGTGTTCTTAAACTACTAGGTAGGAATGGCATGTTACAGAAGTTCTCAGTCTGTTTCATGTGGGTCCCCAAACCCTTCTAGGGGCTAAGAGGTCAGAACTCTGTCCCCAGTCATAGTTGGCCTGGTGAGTGTTCTCCACCCCACACGGGGCATCACACACACGGTTGTGTTTACAGTGTGCGGGGTGGAGGTACCACTGACAGACTCTGTTTTCCAGGTGGGGTTTCGTTTGGCAGGCATTGAAGAGAAGTGGCATGAGTCTCAAGGAAAGCAGCTGACCGTATTTGTTACTTACGATAAAATTCAAGATGTAAGCGAAAATTGGAATGTTGGCAGTGACTAAAGACGTTTCGGGAGGTGGGCGCCAACATTAACCAGCGTGTCCTTGTCCACTAAGCTCTCTGCTGGCACATGGGCTCCGCTGTGTCCGGACCAGGCTTCCAGGTGACCCCCAAGCACGGGAGCAGAGGGTGCATTCAGAGTGGCTTGTAATGTAAGGAGCTGTGGAAAGTTCACAAGCATGGCTTCAGATTCATTTTGTGACTGATTTTTATGGAACTGCTACTCGTCAGGATTTACTGTAATGTCAGCAAATGTGCATAATTCTGAAAATCCTTCTCAGCTTTAATTTTGGAAATACCGATATATCCCACATAAAAACAGCTCTTTGGGGGTCCTCAAATTTTAAAAGTATAAAGGGGCCCTGACAGCAAAAAGTTGGAGAGTGCCTTTCAAGAACTTGGAAGGTGGGCTGTGGCCTGTTCATGAATGGCCTTTGGCACTGCAGATGAGAACTGTTGGCTTGTGGAAAAGTAAGATTTCATGGTATTATTCCTACTTCTCATTAGTAGGAAATGGAAAAATTTGCACTTAGAAACTTAGGACAGTAATAGTGAATTATTTCAGTACGTTCAGTGTTCACCTCCAGTTTTTCTCTTTCCCGTTGTCCTCTTCCTGGGGAGCGTTTGTTACCAACATGGTGTGATCAGGTGTGTTGGCTTGCTGTCGTGTGTGGACCTGTACACTCTAAGTTGTGTTTGGAACATAACACAGTTTTTTTTTTTAACTTTCGCCTTGATCATAGATGTTTTGTTTGTCTTTTGTCTTGATAGACCTGCTTTTGTTTCATGAGCTGAAATTTTATATTAGAATTTCTGTGTTAGAAATTACAAAATCAGTTTTGTAAATTAAAGTCAAGATAAATGAACCAAATTATTTTAAATGGTCTGATCTATTTTGAATAAAGTACTTTACCTCATTGCATGTAACAGAAATAACTGGATTCTCCTATTCTGGTTGATTATTCAAAACTCAAATCCAAAAACTTTTTCCAGAGGTAAACTTTAAAAACTTCATTCCTGAAAACATCCAAATTCCTTTGCTTTTGTCGATGTTCACTGTTGTGGAATGTGAAAGTTTATTTCAAGATCCTTCTGAGAAGCAGTTTCTTGTTTTGACATGGGTTCATGATGATGTGGGTGGCTGGTCAGGGTGAAGTGGTCACTGTCTCTTTAAAAGGAGGTGCCGCGGAATGTTTGTTCTGTTGCTAAGGCGACCTCAGTTACTAAGTTCTCTCCTGGAAGGAGAGGCAGTTGGCCTGAGTCAGAGAAGGAGGTGAGGTGCTGGCAGAGGGTCTTGGGTCTAGAATGTGAAACGCGTTGAATGCCTGATACTCAGGACCAAAGACATGTTCGCTAATAAACTAAGTGAAGTGGTTTGAACGAGGGAGCGAAGTGGTGTTTAGATGCACGTGGACGCGGTACCACGTCCTGTTCAGTCATCCTAACATCCGTCTTCTGAAACCTTTCTTGGGTTTTTAACTAGAACAATGACAGAGCTACAGTGGTAAGAATTCCTGAATAGTTTACTCTTGTGTGTAGTTTTGTTTTTCATCTTTGCACATTGTGTTCGTATTTCTCTCTGGGGTTTTACTGAGCTGTGTCCATCTCCAAAGGAGGATGGTAGATTGGAAAGCAGCTGACACCTGATGACTGGTCATGAAACCCTCTGTCCCCGAGGCCCCTGGGCTCTTCCCACCAGCGCCCTGGCCTTGGCCTGTCCCAGCCCCCTGCTTTCAGAGTGTGGACAGAGTACCTTCCCTTCTTTTAGAAGTCCTTAGGGAAAGGAACCGTGTTTTGGAGGCTAGTTGGTTGGTTTTTCCACTCCCTGGATGTCTTTGCAGGTCATGTGACCTACACTCAAATAAGAGAGTGCTTGGAAAGTTTGATGCTTTTTTTTAAACATGGTTTTAGCTATATTTACTTAAGACCTATAAACTATTTTCTTCATTTTAGGGGCTTACTCCATGGGCGCAGTCTCGAGATAACCTGTGCTGTTACTTGTGAACAGTGACCAGCAGCAGCAGTGTTTCCGGCCTGGCGCTGTCCCCGCACCCCGTGGCTGCATCAGCCAGGTGGTGTGTTCAGCAAGTCAGGAAACTTCGTATCCAAGCTTTCCATTTGGGACAGGTAACGCGTCAATAAGATTAAAAGTCAACCGCAAAATCTTAAGGCTCGATAACATGTTTTCTGTGTCTAAAGTGGCATTATATGCAAAGAAACTGATATAACATTAATACTTTATTGAAATACTCTAGCCTCTAGCCCCAGTTTTTAGATGAATGTTAATTGTGTGCTGAGGGGTTGACCTTGATTGTCCCCTTTATTTTTACTGTCGTGGTTTTAGTGGTGCGTTTACGATGATGTTGTCTAGTCCCTTTGGCGAGAACCGGGTTTTGTAGAGAATTTTTCCTGCAGAAGAACTTGGGAGACAAGAAAAGTGGTGTGGTATGGTGGCACAGCTGATGTCACAGCTACTCCTGCAGGCTTCTGAGTGACCTGGGAGTGTCACAGGCTGACACAGGGTGGAGGAGCTGCAGAATTGGGCAGGTGAATGGGGGGTGG